TAATTTCGAGGTATGTGTTTTTAGGAAGACTGCGAGAGCCGGCAGCAAGTTTGTGGCCACAATGGTGAAACCTATAATACGGTGTGTGAGGCCTACTCAGACCGAGTGGCTCCCGACTATGACGGACACTGTCAGGCTGTCGGGGCCGTTTCTGGCACGGCAGCGGACACTGCCTGCAGTCTAATTTCCTGTCCACGTCTGTCACCTCCAGGCTGCCAGCCTGTCACGCCCCCAGGTGAGTCATTCAGCTCTTTCTCAAAGTTTTGAAAGACGATAAAGGGAAATTTTCATCACGTCATATCGTTCAGGTATATTTGAATTCTGAAATTTTCAACCACACCTTTTAATTGCATCTAATTGCACGAACAGAAATTAGCCTACGTCAACGTTACAGTTGTTTAAAAACTTTAACAACGAGAAATGACAAATTAGCGCAAGCAGAGGCTAAATTTGGCCTGGGTTTTTTTTAAACTGTTGAAGAAGATGCAGACGATTGCATATATTAACAGTGTGGAGGATGCATCATAAGCCTTAACCTGCCATTTTTCAGGAGCCTGCTGCCCAATCTGTGCCAGTATGCTGCAGGTCCTCTGGAACAAAGAACAAATGAATACGTTCTCAAAGGTTTGGATGCACCTCAGTTTTCGTCATTTTGTGTATGTTTTTTTTTGTCCTCCATGTAACATGAGAACATGATTGTGTGCATGCTCGAAGCATGTTTTTGTTGCTTTATCATCCTCTGTGTGGGAAGTACTTGGCCCCCATCTTGTGGCACCTACCGGTATGTGCAATTTCAAAACTCCATTGGGGAAAGGGAGTCAATTTTTTAGATTTTTGTTGTTTGCGGCACCTTCGCTGAATGGATTTACACTCACTGGCCTTTCAAAATACATGTGAAGATGTTATTTTCTTTTGGGTGGTTTTGCCTCATTATTCCTGACTTTGTTTAAATCTTTCTCGATGTATTCGCTTAATTTCTGTGTGTTCAGAGAGTGGTTTGACCTCATACTTGTTCCTACAGTTAAATAAGAACCAGCCAGTGTCAGTCCACGATGTCCTGCAAATGCTGCGACTTCACGTGTCGGTCCCACAGTGCGATGTTTTTGGCTACCTCAGTATTGATCACGAGCTGGTGATCCTCATTGCGCCTGTGGATCAGCATCCAACGCCTCTGCAGGTAACACACACACACCCACTCACTCCTGGATTAATAGGGCTGTGCTTGGAAATTAAAACAAAACAAAACAAAAAAAAACAAACACCCGCTATGATTCTCGCCCTGCTGATGTCTGCATGCTGAACGCGTATTTTCCAGATTGAAGCCTGCAGCAAAGAAGCCGAAAAGATCGATTCCCTCATCAACTACGCCAGTCCAACACTTGTCTCCCACATTCCCCTCTCTGCTCTCGTTGCCTCTGAGACCCAGACGTCTTCCGTCAACTCTTCCGGTGGGGTTCGACGATCGCCTCCGCACCCCACGCTGTGCTTTCTCCTGGGTCTCTTCCTGGCTGCAGCCTTGAGTCCCCAACTGCTGTAAATACCCATTATTGCCCTCTCTTTTCTCCTGTTATCATTTCTATGGCCATCTTGCAGAAGGAAACCATGGCGGCGCCTTCGGACAATCATAATTAATTGACTTGCCAGCGTGTAAAACAATCAAGGTGGAAAATCTATGAATATGAAAAGCTTTGTATATACAGTATTATGAGTGGATGAGTTCCTCACTTTATGGTATGCACAGGTGGGCCTGTGAGTACAGTGTTACGCTGTGAAAACCTCTTGTGGCATCTTGGTGCCAAAGAACTATGTTGAGGTGCGAGGAGGAGATTCATTTAGATCGGCGATCACGCTTTCTATTTAAAAAAAAAAGTAGTGCTTGGCGACCATCGTGTGGCATGTATAGGCAAATGGTAAACCTAATGAGGGGGCCAAATTTTTTATTTTTGTGTCAGGGGTCGATCCTAATCCCCCACAAATTGTGGTGGAACACTGTATATTTGAGTGTGTGTGACTATGTGGTTTGTTTGAGAAGCATCCGGCTTCAAATGAACAGTGTTAAATCCCAGCATGAAGCTCTTCTCTGACATTCGTTTGCTCAGAATTGTATTAGCCATTAGGGTCTATGTAAGACTTATTTTTTTTACGTGTTTACTCTTCAATTCTCACACACATGTCAGCCCGGTTGTTGTTGAAGCGTCCGTATTTTGGTGTACGGCAGTGCCGGCGATCGACCCAAATGTGAGGTATACCTCTATTAGCGTTTGAATCACAAGGCTCAGCAGTGTTTGAGGTTCCATTGAGAGTGTATCTTACGTTTATGCAGCTGGTGTGCGAATAAATGTGCATTTTCCTTGCAACTAACTGGTGACCTAGTTCTGGATGAAGTCCAGCTTCCCGGTGACCCAAACAAAAAGGAACGGATCGTATTCATTGTAGTGCTGACATGCTTCACACATTAGTTCACTTTCTTGACCAAAGATAATCTCAGACGTGTATGGATTACAGATCCCTAAATCTGTGAGGAGGGGGTGTAAATGAATATGTCGGAGGCATCATCAAGGTGAAGGACAATATGTATTTTGTATGTTGGTTTATACGATACCCTGTTGCCTGCATGTGAAAATCTCCAAATTGCCTTAATCTTTTGGGTCCACCAAAGTTTCACACAATATTTACTAAAACGTGTTCTCGTAGTTGGAGTTCATTCCAGTACGATATATTCCCATGGAAACTGTCCAACAATGAAATGTGGGTGCAATTATACAGCCGTCATTTTAAATGTCGCTATTACAGCGTTACACATGCTTTGGGTGGCTTTTCAGGTGTTTCTAGATTTTTTTTATTTTTTTTTTTAGGGCCTTTGTGATGTAAACTCTTTGCGTCATCCAGTTTACATGCCTGAGTTGAATTTGGCACACTCAATGAATGAGAATTCCAAAGAGCACACGTTTTCTTGGTGTGTACAGTATTACGTTCAGGTTCAGAACCGACAGAAGAGAGGAACATTAATCTTTCGCGCAATCCGGCTTATCGTTGTGTTCAACCACAGAGCAAAAAAAACCACACACATATATATATATATATATATATCTGTCTCTTTAAGTATTCTGAACTATTGTTTTCATGTCTTTTCTTTCTTTTGGGTGGGGGGGGGGGCGGTGTTACCGACTCAGGAAATGCACTAAATGTTGCTTTAATACAAGAAAGTCGTATTGATTGATTATTATTAGTATTATGGTCCCGGTTGACGCAGACCCCCCACCCCCACCCACAGGACCTGAAACATAAGGACTTGAGCATGGGATGAGGATACGATGGCTTGAGCCATTTTATTTGGGTATATGAAGGTTTGCAACATTAACAAGATGGTGGTGGGTTATGGGTTGAGAAATAAAAAACAAAAAGGTGGATGATGTCATTCTCATGTCCCAGGCAAAGCTGCTCTCGAACCACAGATGACATGATACAATATGATCATAGTTATACTGGCTAAGGTGTGCTCCTTCCCGATAAAAACCCTGGAATCGTCCCTGCCCCCCCCCTTTTTTTTTGTGTGTGAGGCCAGTAGCTCTTAAGTTTAAAATATAAAAAAGGGATTTCACCCATTTACAGTACAAACTAGAAGCCATCTGATAACAAGACAATCAGCTTCTCACTACCTATACTCCTTCTGGGGTAGAGAAGATTTCCACTGTATGCCTTGCATCATAGTGTCTTATGAAGTATTATTACGAATGCAATATCTTCTTGTTAAAAAAAGTTCTCTGTATTTGTATAAGTATGAAAATGTTTAAGATATCATGTGTGCCATGTTTTTTTTAAATAAATAGATGTTATTTTTTTGTGCATGATGATCGTAATGACGTGATTTTAATCCATTTGCGTTGTGTTATTAGCATGATCTAAAAGTGCCCATACAGCACACATGTCCCAGTATTGACCAGTATTACTGTGCTAGGCAGATGAATTCAGGGTACAAAGGAGTATTCGGGCCACAGTGGGAAGAATAAAGTCAAATTTGAGAAAAAATGATTTGAATTTGTGAGGATAAAGTTGCATTTTTAGGAGAATTCAGTCAAAAGTCATATTTTAAAATAAAGTTGTGTATTTATGGGAATAAAATCTGAATTTTATAGCGTGAATGTAAAAATCTCCCTTTTTACGACTTTAGTCTTGTAATATTCGGACTTGCTCCTCACAAAATTTTGACTTTATTGTTCTAATACAGTATTTCAAAATAATTCCATTAGTATACATTTTGTACACTCCTTCATAACAAGGAAACCTCACCTGGCTCATATTATTGTATGTATCTATTATTATTCATGTCCTGTTTGTCATAACTGAATGTTTTTGTTTGTTCATGCCAACATTGGTTATGCTGCCTTAAAAACAAATTGTATATACCATGTTTCCCTTTCAACACAGGGATGGATCTAAAAGTCTTTCCATACTTGGCTGACTTTTCAGGACTGAAAGACTAAAAATGTTGCAATTAAGATGTGAAGATTGAAATGAATATAATGTGTCAGAACAGCATGGCTCTGGCTAAATTAAAAAAATAAATAAAACAAAAAGATGAGAAAAAGTGGTGGTTCATTTACTTGGTGTCTTTTTTCGCTTTGTTTGCACGCATTACTATTAAAAGCATATTTGTGCAGTGGCCATCTTTCTTGCAATATGGGTCATCAACAATACAATTGATATGCGATATATTAGAGTACTGTACAGGCATATCTATACCTCGCTGTACGTTAGAAATGCTTTAAAAATTATTATTTCTTTATAGTTTCAACTGTGAGAAAGGAAGGGCAGACAGACTACTATCATAATATCTGTGTCAAATTCTGACAACCATGATACGTTTGCTGTTCAAAAATGAAATGAGTATTGTATACAGTATTATATTGTTACGGCCTCCTTTGTTTAATCCGATTGGTGAGTTGACTTGTCACTCCAGACGTTTCCATAGTTACTGCAAACTCCCAGCCAGAGAGTCGGGGAGCGAACCGCTGACAAATGGAAAGCCAAACACAACGGACTGATAACTTGCGCACGATGAGCTGCCTCGATGCCTTTTTTTGACTGAACATTACGATTTATTTTCATTTCTAACCAACGGTGCACCTTTAGGCGAATGTTTCAGTGCCTTTGGTCGTGTATTTTGTTGATTCAACTTCTGGCTCTGCAGTGACTTCACAGCAGTTTCAACGGAACTTCTTTTTGGTTTATTCAACGTTTTCATTTTCCAAAAGGCGCCATGATCCCCGAATGTCCAAGTGTTGTGGAGACGGTCGATAGGACCAAATACCAGAACAGCCCGCCTGCCGAACCGAATCAGATGAGTACCGCCGTCGGAGGCTTGTTGAGGCATATTACAACCGTCATCAAAAATGAACCTTTCACCGATCATTACACCATCATACCCGGAAAAGAGCTTGGAAGGTAAGACTGCTTCAACGGCTGTCCAGTTGGGCAACAATAATAATAATCATCATAATAATAATAATAACAACACCATTTGACTGTGTTAATGCAAAAGCAATAACACCTTTCAACCAACACAACATTCCGGCTCTAATTTGTTTTACAATAGTGACAGTTTTGACTTTGGAAGTGACTGTATTGATCTGAAGAGAATCACGTTGAAATAAACAAATCAGCATGTATTGTGTTGAATTTAAGCATTGCATCATAAAAAAAAAACTCGACGTGTATTTGCGGAATGAGAAGTTCTTTTTTGGCCACATCACTGCAAGATTTGAATCGGTGTCAACACGTTTGGGTTTTTTTTGTCCTTTCAATATTGGATAGAAATGTACTTTTTTTTCATAGCCACCCTCATTTGGTGATGTGTGCATGCGTATCTTCCCACTAGCGCAACAGCTGCACACGCACTGGAAAACAACACTCACGCCAAACCCACACGCATGTCAGGCTTCACTGAAAGCAACATATTTATCTGATCTTTATGCATCTGCATGAATTTATTTTTCCACCCGCTTTTTTTTTCCCCCCTTCCGAAATCACATGATGATCTGTTGCCATGCAATGAATGGCTTTAGTGAGAATGTAAAAGAATGGATGTGTTGAAGCACATGTGACCCTTTGGAGGCCCAGTGGTATTTCCAAGGCTTGCTGCAGGTTGGCATCAGTCATGACTTCATTCCCCCCCCTCTTTCTGCCCTTGAACCGCCGCTTTGGTCAGCGAATGTGCTCAAAGCACTTCAAAACAGGTTAAATCCTGGAAGTATTGACTTCGGAATGTTTCCATTGTTCACTCTGGGTGGTCTGTCCTGATCTCTATTGTTGTAATACAGTTTAGTGAGGCTGCTGAGAAGTGAAATGAATTTCTGTACGTGTTTCAGTTCCTCTGGGTGATGATCATTCATAAAGTCACGAGCCCTCTACAGTTTTGCACGGAATATTCTGTGAGAAGGAATAATCAGCCGCACTGACTGGTGTTAATCGACTCTTTTTGCCAGTAGTGTCTGTTCACCTCGATGTAACCCCCTCAGATAAGATTTGTTGGCTGAATCCAAGTTAATTCGGTCTCCTCCTCGAAGAGCTGCATGACCGTGTGCGTGCGCGTGTCTGGCTTTGTATGGCCTGACATTGTGACTCAGCTTAGCGACCAGATCAACATCAAAAAGTTTAAGTTGATCTGCAGTGGCCATACCACTCAGCATACATAGTACAGCATTGTCGCCCCCAAGTCATCTGACAAAATTTCCCTTGAGCCTTCGAAGACCGCTCAATCAACAAATTGCACTGGCGATTTTTTTTTTTGCATGCATTCTAAATGGGAAAAAAACAAGAAATGAAAGTAATTCAACAAATCAGGGTCCAGTTGCCTTGATTCGACCTTTGCAGATTGTTCTGAGACTCGACATACAGATGAAAAAAAAAACCCACACAAGCACATTAGATTTTTTTTTTGTATTAGCATGTTGACAGTGAGTTAAACATTCATGAAAGGAAATGATTGGCCCTTTTTAGTTTCGAAACCTGATTTGCATTGCATGCCGCGACTCCAGGGCGGATAAGTGGATCAGAAAAAAAAAAGACAAAAGAACATTTGGTCTCTTTAAGCGTTTGTGTGAGAAAAGCAAGCAACGTGTTTGGTGAATAGCTTCATGGATGGACATCCCTCAGCTCACAGCATTCCCGTTTTGTTGGAAACCGCCTGCGCTTATGGACTGAACTGGAGCTTATTTTCTGCACATTTGGTCTCATAGCTGCACTGATTAAAAAAAACAAAAAAAAAAAACATTACAGTATTTGTCTCCTTGGCTTGTATGTTGTAAAGTGAATTTTGGACTGTGAAGTGAACAAAGTGGCCCCTGACAGGCAGTCGATGCTGCGGCGTCAAGCGAGTTGTCAAATATCAAACTGAGGTTATAGATGTGTAACCTCCTGCCCGGATCAATCTTTAACTTTGTCGAATGAAGCTAAATTCAAGCTTGAGCACTGAATTGACGGACACCAGGCTCATTTCAATACCGTGAATTCAGATACGCTCCAATCGAGTCATTAACAGGCTCCTGCAGAGCTAACGAAGTCAATCATTTGCTCACATTTTCAAGCCTCATATTTATTAGAGCACAGCCATATGAAAATAATGAGAACTTCTATTTATGATACTTTCCTGTATTGACCCTCCCTGAATGCTTCCGCCAATAGACCTCACTAGTTTGCATGCATCAGTCAACCTTCCGTATGAACCCCCCCCCAGCCCCCACCAGATGGCTACCGAGCTGGGCTTGAGGATGTAGTTGAAGATAATACTCTCAATATGCCCCCGCCGCGGAGTCCCAGATGGCCCCGTGGCCAAGCTCATTCCGTAGAGTCTGCAAATGTGAGCCTACAATGGAATTCCATATGGTTAAGACACAAAAGCTGCGTGACAGGAGGGCTACGCTCGTATTAGCTCATGTGGTACTCGACTAAGCTTTTGAGTGATTGCGCCCGCCACTTGCCCGCAGCAAGCAGAGCGCATTTCCCCGCAAGGGGAAACAATCAAAGTTGCCGTTTCCTCTTCATCAGCACCGACTGCAACTTATTTTATATCGCACAAAAGCATCAGGGTGTAGCCCGTTAAGCGAGGCTGCCGGCTTTAGAAATGTGCTGACACGGCTTCGGAACAGGCTGTGGTCATCCAGTATGGTTTCTAAAGAGTTGGCCTGGTCTCCCAAACCACTCAGCAAACAGCGCGACGGCCGTTTCCAGTTATCGCCACACCAAAAACGTACCGCTACCCACCGTTTTTAGCAGGAGTTGACTTTCATTGCGTGCGTGTCACAGTCCAGTGCCGCGACCACATGCGGAACCAAACAACGTGCATAAAAAGCACATTTTGATTTTATTTTTTTAATGTGGGGGGGGAGTTAAAGCTGTGGTCCCCGGAAAACCCAACTTTAACTCGGAGGCAAGCAAACAAAACTGATAATTGGAACACAAGGGTTAACTGAAAGCAAAACGGGCACCATGAATTCAAATTAAAAGGCTTGCATTAAGATACAGATGAACTTGACGCCAAACAGAGCCCAGCCTGAAGCATTTCCAAGTCTCATGTGATCGTCACGGGGCTATTTGGGGTTGTCCTCCTACAAGTCACATTTGATTCCAAACTAAGAGATGTAACTGGAAACACAATTTCACATTGAAATAGATTTGCACCGCTTTATTTACAGACACTCAAGAAACTTGACCTTTGCCGAATGACACGGGGGTGGGGCGGGGGGGGGGCAGCTACGTTGCCGCAGCGGATCTCATCATCCATTTTGCGAGGCGGCTTAAAGCGTTGTCATCAGTGTTCACCCTAAAAGTATGCGCAGAGCTCCTACAATCAAGTTCACGTCTGGCTAGTGAAGTGGTATCGATACCGTCGGATCGGAACATTTTTACAACCAGAACAAATGCAGCATAGGCATCCCTGCATCGTATAAATAAAAAGTACGAGTGTCATGAGGAGTCGTTATACAAAAAGTCTTCACATAAATATTGACAGAATTGTATTTTTGTCGACAGGGGCAAATTTGCAGTGGTCCGAAAGTGCGTGAAGAAATGTACAGGTCAAGAATACGCCGCAAAGTTCATGAAGAAGAGGCGAAAAGGGCGCGACTGCCGCATGGAGATCATCCACGAGATTGCCGTGCTCGAGCTGGCGACAGACAGTCAGCGGGTGGTTAGTCTTCACCAGGTCTATGAAATGGCCTCCGAGATGGTGCTCGTCCTGGAGTTGTAAGTATCTTGTTTTCTCGGAATGGAAACTCCCACCAACGCGTGTATCGTTTGTTATGGTTTGAGGTTTGCAGAGTTGAGTGAAGATGACCCAAGGGCTGCAAAGGAGGGGTTGCGGGGGTGCAAGGCATGATCTCAAAATAGTATTTATTTAAAAAAAAAAAAAAATGAAAACATGGCACTCCCACACAAAAAAAAATGTTAAATCAACAGAAGTTCAAAAAAAAATCTGATAAAATGTAACAAACCGAAATCAACTCATCACGGTAAGGAACAAGACAGAAACAACAACATCGGCAATGAACAGACGCTGACTGAATGAATCCAGGGAACTAAATGCAAGCAAACTGACGAGACAACAAGGTCCACCTGGAAGAGACAGCTGGATGAGAACAGGCGCAAACTAAAACCTAACGAGCAGGGCAACGACCAAAAAAAAAAAAAAAGGCTACACAACATAGAACATGGCCATCTATTTTGATTTAAAGCGTGAATTTGTTCCTCACGGGATTATTTCCGCCCCAACAGCCGGACAACGGCACAACACACGTCACGCGGTACCCGAAGAACGAAGAAATAATCAATTTTCAAAAATGTACCGTTCAAACAGGATGTACTCATTTATGTCGAGCACTTTTGCTTGAGTGTTTGCTCTTTTTAAATTTCAACATGACGAACTGGGCTCCATTTGAATGGTCCAGCTAACACAAACTATTTGAACAATGTGGCTGGCCTGCATCCAGCCAAGCACGCGCACACACACACACACACACACACACACACACACACACACACATCCAGCATCTTGCTGAGTGTAGTTGTCAATGATCTCATCCCAGTGGTCACGCCGGGGCCATGCTTGACCTGGTTCCCACAGAAGAAGGTCTCTCCGTCTCAACTTTGTTTTAACTCTCCGTTTTCATGTTGTCACTTACTAGCGTGACTCTTCCCACTACACACACACACACACACACACACATACACAAATTGGGGTCAAAGTTGCGTTCGGCTACTAAATTAGACGGTATCGACCCGCAATGGATCTGTCTTTTCTGACCTCTACGTATCCATGACACCACCCCACCGGCATTCGCAGGCGTGCACTTGGATGTAGCTTTAAGATTACTTGCCTGTTTGTCAACGCCATCGCCCAAGCTTTGACGTTGACTGTTAGTCATTAAATGAATCGGCATTACTCTCCCCCCAAAATGGACCCAGAGGAGTGTGTCAGCCCAGCTTAGTGTATACGATAGCTGAACACATTTAGTGGAAGAGCATTTAATTGTTACACTAGTCACTATATGTTGCTAGCATAGATAGATGAACGGTACGGTGGTCGGAATCGGAATCGCCGGTGTAAAAAATTTAATCCGGTGGGGAGACTCGCATGTTGAAAAGATTGAAATTGAGATCCATGCTGGCTGAACTCCAGTTCTCGTTCAAACAGTTGAGGCGGACAAGCGCGCGTGACATGCCAAAGCGTGGCCCCTCACCCAGAGAAAGAGAGAGGTCACGTGAGGCCACAACAAAAAAAAAAACAAAACAAAACAGCGGGCTGACAGTTCGAATGAACTTGTCAATATTCTCCACAGCAGATTTTCCAGGCTGACGAATGTTCAGCGATATCTTTCACGTCTGCATTGACCTACAAAAACATATCGGGATCACCGTCTGTCCTCTGACTATCAATCCCAAAATATCAGATGACAAATCTCAATGAAATAATGGTTGACCTTCCCTCACCCTCAAATGTGCTAGTGCAACATTTGCACATATAGCTCATTTACTGGATTTTCATAGTTGTTTTTAAGGGCAGGTTTTATGATTAAAAAAAAAAAATGACACGATACATTTTCTTGGTACAAAATAATTTTAGGAAAAGCCTACTAGACCATTTGAAACCTGGCATTTAAGTTTAGGGTATGGAGACTTTTTTTTTTTTTTTTTAATATCCTCTTGATATTCATACTTGAGAAAAAGTGTGTTTGTGTATGTATTGCATAAATACACGGCAAAGCAGTCCGTTCCATGTGTAGGAGCGCTCATTAGTGTGAATTGGCCCAAATGGGGGCCCCGTGACGTCACGCTGTGTGTATTTGGGCAAATGAGCGTCTTTTGTCTGGAGTGTGTTTTTGCTGAAGAACTCATGAGTGCAGGATGTGGGGCACGCTGAGGCATTCACATGACCTCACTCGGATTTTTTTTTTTTTTTTTAACGTCTTCCTCAGTATTGTCACACTTGTAAAATAAGCATTTTTTTCGTTCCCCGCTATTGTTTGCAAAGAGTCTTGGAAAAATGTACATTGTTGTCATGTGTTTGTGTTTAGGTCAGATACTGGGTTTCTTTCCCTCCGAACTCGTGAAGCGGAGTCACAGCCAGTATGTGATCAAAGTCGAATCGATCCATTTCCACCACGTCGTAATGCCGCATCATTTCATTTCCATCGATTTAGCAACTCCCCAATCCGACTTTGCGGGGTCTCGTGAGTTGATGAACGTGACCCGGCACCAGGTTTCGAAGCCTCATTTGAGGCATCGGGGCAGCGGGCCAGTCGGCTTTTTCTTGCTTTTTGTTCCTGTCGGGTAGCCGCAAAAACTGGCGATTGTTCATTCAACGTATAATCATTTTAATTGAGTAATTCATAGTTGGGCATTTTGCTTCTGGTGAAAAAGTGAGCACGCAACACGTTTGGAGTAATTGGAACGCTTTGATTCTGCTTGATTGGAAAAATTCCTTCCAGTTGAGGAATTAATGAGGTCTGCGTCCTATTTAAAAGTGTGGCGGCGAGGTGGCAGAGTTGATGAGTGATGAGAGAGGAGTCCCACACTGCACGGTTACTCTCTGGCTGCTCGCGTGGGGTTTTCCATTCTAGAAACGTGCCCGCTAGCAGCAACCGGGACAAGTATTTTCCACTTTTTGGAGTCGATATTTGAAACATCACAGTCATTTGTGACCCACTGATGTATCGGATTTTAGCGCGAATCCTCACCTCGTACCCCCCCCCCCCCCCCCAACACAACTCAATTACACGCGTGAGCGGACAGTGAGTACAACGTGATATTCCGATCTCAGCAGGCGACGTCCAAATAACGTATTTCAACAGCCGCCGAAGGGGATGCTACTTTGTAATCCTGACTCGCCTGCCCCTGTTTTCCTTTTCACTCATTGTCAGTTTGCGACGCTCACAATACGAGAAATGAACGATACCTTATCTGACTTCCAGACTGCTTGATTTCTCTCCCGACAACTTTTGTCATGTCAGGCTTGATTTTGCTACTTTGCTCGACATTTCTGCCACCGCCCCCCCTTGCTGGACACTACTATGTAATTATACGTGTGAGTGATCTATATTTATATTTACCCGGGGGAAGAGCATATCTGTGTACGTGATCCTCCTCTGGCCGTGCGCCGCGCGTGACTTTTCATCCCATTTGTGCACGTTTCCGCGGCCAGCGCTGCGGGAGGAGAAATCTTCAACCAATGCGTGTCGGATCAGGAGGACGAGGCCTTCAGCGAGAATGACGTCAAGAGGCTCATGAGACAGATCCTGCAAGGAGTCGCCTTCTTACATCAGAGGAACGTCGTCCATCTGGACCTGAAGGTCTGCGGATCGAGTCGTACGCAATTCAGTTGTGCGGACCAAATGAATTGAGATCTCTTGCCGGCTCACCCACCCTTCCCGCCCCCCCCCCCCCCCCAACACAACTCAATTACACGCGTGAGCGGACAGTGAGTACAACGTGATATTCCGATCTCAGCAGGCGACGTCCAAATAACGTATTTCAACAGCCGCCGAAGGGGATGCTACTTTGTAATCCTGACTCGCCTGCCCCTGTTTTCCTTTTCACTCATTGTCAGTTTGCGACGCTCACAATACGAGAAATGAACGATACCTTATCTGACTTCCAGACTGCTTGATTTCTCTCCCGACAACTTTTGTCATGTCAGGCTTGATTTTGCTACTTTGCTCGACATTTCTGCCACCGCCCCCCCTTGCTGGACACTACTATGTAATTATACGTGTGAGTGATCTATATTTATATTTACCCGGGGGAAGAGCATATCTGTGTACGTGATCCTCCTCTGGCCGTGCGCCGCGCGTGACTTTTCATCCCATTTGTGCACGTTTCCGCGGCCAGCGCTGCGGGAGGAGAAATCTTCAACCAATGCGTGTCGGATCAGGAGGACGAGGCCTTCAGCGAGAATGACGTCAAGAGGCTCATGAGACAGATCCTGCAAGGAGTCGCCTTCTTACATCAGAGGAACGTCGTCCATCTGGACCTGAAGGTCTGCGGATCGAGTCGTACGCAATTCAGTTGTGCGGACCAAATGAATTGAGATCTCTTGCCCAAAGACAAGCGTGAGATATGCAGCTCTTGAGAACAAACGCGCTCTAACATTTGATCTTGTCCGGGGTTCCGTCAGCCTCAGAACATCCTTCTGACCAGCAACTCTCCTCTGGGCGACATTAAGATTGTGGACTTCGGTCTGTCCCGTATCGTCAGCAGCCAGCAGGAGCTTAGAGAGATTATGGGAACTCCCGAGTACGTTGGTGAGTGGGCGTTCCTCTCTTCTACCGCCTCGATCTGTTTATTCATGGTCATTATATCATTGTCGTTATTGGATTGTCCACGTCAGGTAGTTTCTTTTCCTCCTCTTACAGCTCCGGAGATTCTAAATTATGAACCCATAAGCACAGCAACAGATATGTGGTAAGAAGAAAAAAAAATGAAATGAAAATATCCTCGCTTATTAAATCGCAATTGCAATATTGAGAAGAAAAAAAAAAAAAACGGTGTCCAGTTTTGGATTTCTCCTCTTCGAATGAACGGTGTCCATCATTCTCCCTGTCACGCTTTTAGGAGCATCGGTGTTCTGACCTACGTGATGCTGACAGGCCTGTCGCCCTTCCTGGGCAAAGACAAGCAGGAGACCTTTCTCAACATTTCCCAGATGAATGTCAGCTACGACGAGGAGGAACTGCAGGAGCTGGACCAGGCCGTGTCCTTCATCCAGACTCTGCTCTGTAAACAGCCACAGTCAGTCCAAATAGTTTTGGTTTCTCAACTGAGTCATGTGCATGCTTTCAATTCTTTGCTTTTTTTTTTTTCATGGTGTCAATGCATGACATGTTTTCCGTATGAGCTTAGGGTTCGAGCCACAGCCGAACAATGTCTCCAGCACCCGTGGCTTCATTCCGAAGATCCTCAGGAAACGGAGACACGCGGTAAACGGCCCCCACTGGGAGTCCATGACTCATCCAGCGCAAGCGGCGGTCCCGCCGGTAGCCCGGAAAGTCCCACCACCACCTCGACTGCTTGCACAAACAGTGTTGAGGAGGAAGATGAAGGCCCGGTGACTGAGGACCTGATCGTCGTGGCCGCCTACACCCTGGGCCAGTGCCGCCAGTCGTCCACCGCCGAGAAGGACGCCCGGGTTGCCGACAAGAAGGCCAACTCCAAGCGCTTCAAGTTTGAGGAGCCCTTCACCGTCCTGCAGGAGCTCCCTGGGGAGTTCATCTACTGAAAACTCCCCACCCGCGGGAGCAAATCGAAAAGCATCATCGTGAAAAAAAAAAGGGATGCAACAATGTCTTCATCGCACGTACATAAACAATGTGATTCTAAAATGTTTACGGATATCACTTCGGGGGAAGTGGTGTTAGCACCCTCTATTGGCCAAACTAGGTATATTCATGTATAGCTTCAAAAAAAACATCTAATGATAAATGCATTAATTATAAAAAAATGTAGTTCTAATGAAAAAATACTTGAGTTAAAACAACTATACCACAAGTTAAAAGTGTAAATATAAGCTAAAAGTGTGTTCTCTTTTCATCTCATTGAGGGGGGAATGCCACCTAACATAGCACTTATGTAAATACACTGTACAGTACACGTCTGATTTGCTTATACAGGGGAAAACTTTTTTTTCCATCATTTGGTTGGTCTAATATACTTCTGTCTTGATTTCTTCATATTTTTTTTTCTTTAAGCTGCTCTTCCTAACTCTGCAACTCTGCTCTCACGTTGACACGCATGGTGTATTTTTTTTTTTTTTTTTTGTTTCTGGTGCTTGATTAAGGGTTTTTGTGTTTTATATTTGCCTTCTAACATCCATTTTTATTGTTCAATTTCTTTTTTTTTTTTTTTTGTAAATGATGGTTGTTCATTTAATTTAAGAGTACAGTACTGCTAAATATACATGTCACGTACCGGTATTTGTGCAACCTTCAGTATAGGGTACAACCTTCAAGGGCTGAGGCCTGTCAACCCAATAAATGTTCGTTTGAGTTGTACATGTTGACTGTGAGCGTTCTAGACTTCCACGTTGTTGGAATTACATGTTTGAAACAATGGGAAAATATTTGTACATGAATGTCCTGTACCGCAAATAAATATGTTGGGAGTTACACTTGTGATTTTTGAAAATATAGATTTAATATTTTTTGGGATATGATGCAGCATCTGCAGCTCTCATATATATATATTTTTTTCTCCTGTAGCGTGACCGCAGCCAAATATTTGCGACTTGGACGCACATACCTCAGGTCAAAAGTTTCCAGCATTTCGATAAAGAACTGCTTTTGCAACATATAAAATGAATATCATGTCTTTGAGAATGTTCAACTATGTTGAATGAAGGTAGAATTCAACTGAATTTGGTTCTTTTCTGCTCAGTAGGGTCAAGAAAGTTTCATTTGAAACGCTAAAAACAAACATTGCATTCTGGGCTGCATATGGTACCAACTGTATAATGTACAGTAGTTCTATTGACAGCGTTGTACATAATACAGCGACGCCGCCTTGTGGCTGAGATTAGAATTACACTCAAACAAAACTGAGTTGAGTTTGGACCCCAAAAACTGCGCATTAAGGAATGTAATTGTGTCTATAATCATGGATGTGATGATGGAAATAATGTTCGTCAGGGCAAATTTAATACAATAATGTATCAGTAATGTTTTGGTAACAAGACAGTTATGAATGGAAGCTACCTGAACACCTGTCCTTCAAAACGAGATAAGAGCAAATTTCCCCTTGTCTTGGGGAGAACAGATGATAAAATACTGTCTCCTATGCTCTGTAAAACTTGATGACAAGGTGTGGACTGTCTTGTTATTGTTTCGACTATCTTCTGGTATTTGGAGAGAGCGTGTTGAAAAGTCAACAACAAAAAGATATTTGCCGACCCACAAACAAAAAAGTAAAATTCTGTCTTTTTTTGCTTTTTGCAACGAATTATTAGTGTGTGAAGGCCTCAAGAAAGCAGCGTGCTAGTTTCTCACTTAAGAGCAACTGTTCACACTGTGGTACAGAAATAGAAAATGCTGATGATGTGTCCTGTTCTGCATGATACATCCGCTCTTAATTAATTAGCCTTCACACAGGCATTTTTATCACTGGACCAAAAATTGCCCAGTATGGGATCATGTTTTCAATGTCATACAAAGTGCACTGTATGATATATATTCAGAATTGCCCTTGGTCTGATTCAAGTCCTTAGTTTTACTGCACACATGAGGTTGTGTCTTATTTGATCAAAACAGTTACCGATTCGATTTCTCAAGAAATATTTTGGGAAGTGAACATGTATGTGGACTGAGACAAAATCAAATGTAACAAATGGGGACCACTGTTTAATAACAACAACAACAATAACAATAATAATAATAATAACGTGTGCACCATGTGTTCATTTTTATGTGTTCAAGATTAATTTGAAAATAGTTCTTTGTAGGCCAATGCTATTTTGCATTCTTGATGGCACCATCTGCTATTCACATGCAAAATTCAAAACAGGATGGAAAAAGAAGACCACGTCCATCTGTGCTGTGATCTGATCGCTCTAGTTTAATATAACAAAAAAAAAAAAAGATAGCGGGATTGTGGCTGGTGTAGCACATGACGATGGGGCTCAAGAAACTTGGTGCCCACCACCACAACTTGTGGGGTGGCCGCCCTCGTTGCCGCCCAAGTTGAGTTCATCCTCCATTTTGAAGAACATAATTTGCAGTTGGCTAATAAAGTGTCATCATCTGTGTTTATCTGATCTCCACATGGGTGATTTCACCTGCTTGGAAGGAATTTGTTCGGCTGGTAAAGTGGTATCGGTGCAGTAGTATTGAAGCATATTTTTTCTCAGATGACAAATTGTATTTTAAGTCAAGAATGTCAGAGATTCAGCTTCAGTGACCTCAGATGCAACACACACACAGTTGTTGTGACTGAGTAATTACACAAAAAAAATAGTTCTTGACATTGTCTTGTGTTGTGATTTACAAAGTACAGTGTAATTTTCTATGTAAGTGTAGTTTTTCCCCTCGGTTTTGTGGAATACTTTATTCTTTGCGGGATATAACGCAATCATTTTGCGTTATATTGCAAATTATTGCATTATTCGCTACCGTCTTCCGGATAAAAGATTAAAGGACGGATGGCGAATTTAAATCTTCTGCTGATATTTTGTATTGGGAGGGGGGGGACTACTGGCATTTCCATTCATTTCAACGAGGAGTTTAGTCATGATGCCGCTCTGAAGTCACGTCTGTAAACGAAACGCGTGAGCTTGGTGGGTGACGAGGGTGCGAAAGGGGCGTGCTGGAAGCAAACATCACAGGCTACCCGATCTTTTGCCACAGTCCTGCCTCGCCATTAATCCTGCGTCTGACCGAAGCGAGGCTGTCCTGTCTTCCTCCCTCCCTCCCTCCCTCCCTCCTTTACCGGGCGCCAGACGCACTCCGGTGGCGGCGGTGGACCGTCCGGATGTGATCTCCGCGGCTCCCCGGGAGCAGGAATGAAAGCCACACTGCCATAAAGGAGCGTCGAGTCTCCGCGTCGGCCCCTTTTCAGCGGAGCGCTGACTTTGACCGGCGGAGAGATGAGGATTCCTCGGACCGATTTAGCCTTGACATTCTGGCTATTCATAGAGGTGAGTGAAGCTCGGCGTTGTTATTTTTTTACGGGTTTGGACAGACAATAGGCGGTTTTGATCCTCCGTTTGTTGTTCAAAAAAAATAATCATCATAAAAAAAAATGTATCACGCCAAGCTTCAGTCACGTGTGCTGTGTTAGATGTAGAGCGATGCCAGCTGAGTCCGTGTCAGAATGACAGCAATTTTAACACTGGCTCCCGAGGAATAAACATGATACGATCCGGAGAGATCGGATTAGGGCATCATTGGGATATTACGAAATGTTTTTGTCAAATCGGCTTTCTAAAAAAAAATAATAAAACGCTCGGAACATTTGATTTGAAACAAATCCTGACTTTGAAGACAAGGAAGTCAGCTTGTTTCCACCGTCATGTCAAGTGAGAGCGAGAATCTCACGAAAAATCGGTGCTGAAAGGTGAGAGGTAACATGTGCAATATGCAAAGATGATTATTTTTCGATTGTCTCTGAATGATTCTCATTTGATGTTTTATCTTGGGGCTCCAGTCCCCCTCGCCCCACATTAGGTTGTTGGGCCTATGTATGGCTCAATGTTATCCGGTATTTCATTATTTTGGGACGTCAGCAATGTTCCCCCTGACCTTCTGAAGATTTCAAATGAATCACGCTATCCAACGAACCTCAGATATGAGGTGTATTAATTTATTTGTGTAAAATTTTATGAACGCAAGTAAGACAATTGAAGATAGATTTGCACTTGCAGTGCAAATCGGGTAATATTTGCTGTTTTCATCCCTATCATAAAAACATTGCTTTGGCGCCGACCGGTAGCATCTTGTTGTCGAGTGACGGTGTTGAATTGAAGGGAGGAGGTGCGGTATCCACCCTGGAGTGGTCACTAGCCCACTGTTTTTTTTTTTTTGATCAGGCCAAAGTAATAACGGTGTCGCTCTGGTGCCATTTGGTGGTAGCATGGTGTTAGGCATCTTTTGAAGTGAGTTGAGGAGCTTTATTCAGACAGTTATAAGCGGGAACAGAAAATGAATAAATGTTTCGAAGGTCCTCCCTGCATGACAATGGGGCAACACAATGAGCCATATATGGTTTGTTCTAGAGGAAATGGTGACGATCCCCATTTCCCCTGAAACCTCTCCGCTGACACTGGTATCCATTTATTATTCACTTGAATCATGATTATTTTATCGTCACTCAGCTGACTGAGCTCATCCATTTTAAATGTACACAAGGCAGTGTGGTCGGAATCAAGCCCTCCAACACCGTTCGTTTACTTTGATCGGTGGTGAAACCAGAGGTGGCTTGACTTGAGTCAGACGGGACTAGGACTCACTTGGCTAGAAGTAAAAAAAAATGCCAGATGCTCATTCCTCCGTTATAGACTTGAAATGAATAAAAAGTGGCTCTCCTGTCTCCCTTCCCGTTCCTATTTTTAGAACTTGATGACATTATTGTGTGACCATATGGCCAGCGTTGTTTGTCTTCTATTTATACCGCGTTTACACTGACCAGGCGTGACACAAAACAAACAAATGCTCAACATAAGAGCTGTTTACGAGTATTCTGGCTTCACAAAGTGAACGTAATATTCAGTTTTGATTGACACTTTAAGGGTGTAGAAATGTACTGCATGATGCTGAGAGCGCTAACATTTTGGCTACCTCGATTAGTTGCTAAAAGCCTACGTCAAAGTGTTCATAATGTGATGCCTGGCTGGTGTATCTATTCCGCATACATTTTCTGTCGTTATTTTCTATGAATCCGAAAATAGAAAATGTTTCATGTTTTATGTACGCCTCATCTCAGGCGCTGTCATGCTTTGCGCAGCTTTAGCGCAGCCGTACAGTGGAACAGAACTTGTTTGATTTCTGTGTTTCAATGTGAGCATTCCAAAAGTAGAAGCCACCATTGACGGCGTCATCGATCCGCCGCCTCGCCCCCAGCTTTTCCTTTTCGCTTCATTTCCAACGTCGTTTCTAATTTTGATGTGTTGTTTCAGCTCACTCTTGACAATCGAATGTTTCTTGTCGGCTCGCTAATGGCTCGGGCATCCGTGTGGTCAACGGCGATCAATAAGACAGCATGGATGCCCGATCGGTGGATGGGACAAGCATGTACCGGAAGAGGGGAAACAAGCATTAAGAGATGTACAATATAAAGTCAAATCGATTAAAAAAACAAAACAAAAAAAAAAACAACTTCAGTGAAAGGATTTTTCGAAAGTATTATCTGGAAGTTGAAGAAAACAACTGTTTGGCTACGATTGAGTTATTTTTTTGGTTTGGTCGATACCACAAGACCGATACCATTAGTACTCATGATACATGAAATTTCAATGTCAAATGGATGCAGTCTATACCAACTACGGGGAAAAATTATTATTTTTTTTTTTTTTGTCTTAAGTATCGGTGCCTGATATCGGCATCCTTTACGAGTACTTGAAATAAGGCCTGAGAGTGCAAGGTAGGGAGGCTCGTAGTATCAGAGCAATGTCTGTGAGGGAGCTTCATTATTGATCGCACGCCTTTCACAAGTAGCGACTACAAAGGCGAAGCAGCCGGATCTCTCACACACACACACACACACACACACACACACACACACACACACACACACACACACACACACACACACACACACACACACACACTTGCACTTCGAAGGGCTTAATGTTCAGTGTAGAACCATTTGAACTATTCAACCCCCATCCAATGTCCTCTGGCTAAAACCTCCGAGCAGCTTTTAAAGCAGCAGAGCACATTTGCTGGTTGTGTAAGAGTCATTTTTTTTGTCCCACGGGAGCACGGTGGGGGGGGGGGGCATTTTCTTCCTCTGTCGGTTCTTTCGCTCTGTCTAATTGGAACAAGACAATGAACAGAGCTGGATGATGGCCATTGCTGGTAAATGGATGACAATTAAGTCCAATCATGGAAAATGAACAGTGGTTAAGTCTGGAAATGTGCCACAAAAACTTTCTGGTCTGAGCTGTTTGTGTTTAGCAGGCGGGGAGGGGGGGGGTTGTTGTTTTGTTTATTTTTTTAAATTATGACTTGGGAAAAGAAAAAAAATACATTTTTAGGGCACAATTGATTAGTCGACTCATATTAGCTGTTTTGTAATCATCAGATTTTTTTTTGGGGGGAAGGGGTGGCACAATATTTTAAATTTCCACACATTGTCAGATTACAACATCAAACAAAAATAATGACATTCAAACATTCCGTCCTACCACAATTAGCCAATTTATCTCTCAGTTGTAAAGTTACATAACAACAATAAGTTTTTTGTTGAAAGCATTAAGAGACACAAAAAAAGTTATTTCATTCATTACGTATTTTAAAAATTAATTGGTCAATTGATTGGTTATCGGAAATTTACATAGGAATCGGCCAAAAAAAATCCATACTAGTTTTATTTTTTTTCTAAATAGGATCTGGGCGTACACTGTATTGCGAAAGAGAGTCTGTCATGTCAGGCTACAGTATATTTTGTATTGTGGGCTACTGGTGACCTTGAAAACAATGTGGCGTGGCTGAAAACACAAAGCTGCGGCATGTAAATTCCTCCTCAAGGTCATGGCATTTTTTGTTGTTGTTGTGTGATCTCATACTGGGTGGGGATGAGCCTGCTGCTTGACAGAGTGAGACCGCATTATTTTCCACATTCCAGCATTTTTTTTTTTTTTTTTGCAAAGTAGCCCCAATGAAGGTCACAAGTTTTCGCATACAAAAATAAAAGCACAGCCTATTTACCGGTAAATACATTTTACATTGATCTCGTCATGATCCTTGCGAGTGCCGGTGAGACGTTGCCGATGAGCCAAACGTGGCCCTCTGGTCATACTTTGCCCACGTCGTCTTCTGCGGGCCCCTCTGTACTCTCAGCTTCTTTGTGTACAAATCTGATCGAGCCGGCAGTTTCACGCGTGTACGGGGAGGTCGTTTCAAAGGCAGTTAATTAAGCAGACAGCCGGCAGCGGCACTCGGCACGCTCACGATGGGCAAAAGGGAGCGCTCGCGGGTTGCAGGGGGATCATTGCTCTCTTTGGAGCCATTCTGAGATTCATCAGAGAGGAGACAATGAGTTTGTATACGGAAGGGCGTTATGATGGACAGTCAGCGGACAATTCATCGGGTACACCTGCAGAAGATACGATATATATGAGCGCGATAACATTTAGATTCTTAATTGGCACTCCACAATCTTCCATATTGGGTACTGTACAAGCGCTAACCGGATTGCTGATGTGCGGTAAAGTAGGTTGTTTGAACTGCTTTGTCTAAAATTCAATCCCTTTTCATTTGTTGCTGTTTAGATTGGGTCGTATTGGAAATGCAATGCATCATAATGAGCATTTTTAAAAATTTTGAACTCCAAAAAAAAAAAAAAAAAAAAGAAAATAAGCACAAGAATAGATAAACAGAAATAGTCTGGGGGCGGGGGACCCACATGAAAAATAAAACCAAGTTTAATTTTAAGTATACGACAAAGTTAATAAATATATGAAGTCATTAAAAAAACATACATAAAACAATATTCCATTGAACATATGAGATCAAAATGTTGAAACCAAATCATGTAATTTCATCGTACGAAAGTCTGCTAGCTTCATGCTAACAACGTGAAACTATAGATGGGCTAAATTGGCATTAAAGCTAAAGTAAGCGGATGTCCTTTAAATGCTTAGAACTAAACAAAAATTGTTGGACTCTGCTGTGACGTGTGAGTAAATGGTAAGTTAATTTGATGTGTTTTGGTTTTTTTTTTCTCTCTTTTTGGCAGGCTGTAGAGGCCAAAAAGTACTGCTGGTATTTTGAAGGCGGATACCCCATATACTTCATGTAAGTACCATCATGATGCGACTCATTGAACTGGAAAGCTGATGAGGAAGCCTCTTTGGCTACATCATTTTAGCCAACATCAAATGGTATTTTTTTTTCTGCCAAAACGTTATCTGTGATCGATCCAGATGTCGCTCATACGAGGACTGCTGCGGGACTCGCTGCTGCGTGAGAGCTCTGTCCATCCAGAGACTCTGGTATTTCTGGTGAGCACTCTGCCTTCAGAACCGCATCCCAAACATTTATTTCCCCAATTCTCCATCTGCTTTTTTTTTTGTGGTTTCATCGCAGGGTGCTGCTGATGATGGGCGTGCTGTTCTGCTGCGGCGCCGGCTTCTTCATCCGTCGAAGGATGTACCCGTCGTCTCTGAGAGATGAGCCTGCCTTCAACGTGTCCTTCACCAGACACGCCGTCACCACGCCAGGTAAACAGATCAAATTGATGCACGCCGCTCAAAATAATTAAACATTGTATATTTAAATGCCGAGTTCACCCAAAGCACATCAGCTCGGCAAACAAAATCCACCAGCTCAATGCTAACATAAAATGCAAAACGCTGTTGACGGGCTCACGGAAATTAGCATGTAATCGATCAATCTCTTTTCTCTGCTCTGTGTAGTTTCCCAGCAGCCAGGAAGCGTGCAGGGCTTCAGTGTGAACGGGATGACGGCCGGTGACCCCGCGCTCGCCATGACGCACCCCGCGTACCCGCCGCAGCCCGGCTCCGCCCACATGATGCTGGCCCCTTACCCGCCACCGCCATCTTACTGCAACCACCCACCACCGTCCTATGAACAAATTTTCCACAACGGGGACAAGAAGTAATATCTGCAAGCACAAAAAAGAAGGAAGAAGGAAGGCCTGCCGTTTGTTGGAACCTTTACTTTTTGTGTGAGAACACTGGCACCCTGTTTGTTATCCTGGAGAAAAGACTAAAAATAAAGAAATAAATAAAAATGCAACAGGCACAGCAATCTAGATGCACGGTCACACCTTCATTTGCATTCACCACTTATTTTCTCTTCGTTCAAGTGGATCAGCTGGATTCACACTCACCAGCTTCCTTTTGCCTCCCAGCTGCACAATGTATAATGCCATCAAAACGTGCCATGTAATTTAAAAAAAAAACAAAACAAAAAAAAAAACGGGATGTCATTAGACTCAATAAAAACTTTTGTTTGTTTTTTAGTATTTTCAAATGATCTGCCGTAAAGATAAATAACTAGAGAAGTTTTGTTGAAGGCCGATGTACCGATACGATTCGACTTCAGCTACCACCATGACGGCTTTAATATTTTGGGGAGTATTTAGAAGTTTTTTTTTTTTTTTTCACTAATTCAAAAAGTGTGAAAAGTAAATTCTGACAGATGGAGGCACTTGCAGTATCTAAAAAAGTTCACTACGTTGTGTTTGGGACAAATAGACCCGTCACCAAACAGCAACACCCCACGACCGTCTCGACAACTTGACCAATTAAGTGTGTGCTGTTAATCAGAAGCTAATGCATTTAGCGAACGCTAATCTTCACATTCAACAAAACCTTTTGTCTTAAAGGTGACAACAATGGCATTGTACCTGGGGGAGATTGGAATGTTTACAAATGAGTGTTTCACTGTACTGTAGTCTGGCCATTGCTTGAAAGTAGCCCTGGATATTCTAGCAATTTATGACATGTGCTGAAAAACTGGTGTTGACACACTTGGTGTGTGCAGGAACTCTACTGACCAAACAATACAAGGTCAAGTGTCCCTTTTCAGGAACCAAATATGGTCCCAATACATTTATTACATTATTGTTAAGACAGGCTCATGTTTGTTCCCATTTCCCCTGTTTGGAGAAAATGTCATCCTGAAATGATTGCCTTCCCTTTTTATAGTCCATTCAGACTGGACAAAAAGCCTGAACACTGACAAACTGACAAACGCCACATCAATTAGGTGTGCCACAGGGTCGTGGTTAAGTCCCTCATTTGTTTCCTTTCAAAACTGTCAAAACATTCATTGGTTCTTCTTGTCCCATTTACAAAACACAATAAACAGACTTGAACCACAGTGGATTTTTTTTTTTTTTGGTAAAATTTACTGCAAAACAAGTGTTAAATTTTTTTACACAGTTTCTACAATATCATTACACACTGGCTGGTCAAACACGACACGTTTTGGATAAAAACACAGTGAGGGACAACATTTCATGAGAATGAGGCATTTGTGTGCATTCATACGCTGTCGGCTTCAATGACTTTCGTGTTAGTAGCAGAATGTAGTGTATAGTACCATTTCTTTTTTTTAAATTTATTTGCATGTGACCTTTCGGAACTATTTGTTTGCAAACCTTTTATTTGGGTGCAATATGGAACTTTACTGGGCAAAACATTTTAACTGAATCACTGCTGAAATAGTTTTCTTTTGTCTTCATTTAAGTACTAAGTTCCTGTATTTATTTTTTTTTAAACGCTATTGTCGGTACTTAAGAGCCAAGTGTTGTTTTCGAGGGTGTACTTTTGTAAAAACTTTGTGACCCACTACTTCCGCTGAACAGAACAACGCTGGATGAATTATTCATGAGCCAGTTTATGTTTTTGCCACCATTTCAGAGGCTAATTATTTCATTTCTAGGTTGTTATCAAACATGCATTCATGTGTATGGCTTCTTACTAAACACACACCCCAAAAACAAAAAAAAACCATCCCCAGTTTGAGACAAAAGACAAACATTTGACATACGGGATGGAAAAAAAAAATCACATCACTGGCAGGACATGAAGAACCACTTGAGCATGCACGTGAATACAAATAGCACATGTTCACGAAACATCCAGTTCATGTATGACAGTCATTCATAGTTGACCTATAACATGTACTTTGGTCAAAAAATAGGTTCCGAACACTTTGGCGGCGTGAAACAAATGAGATCTGCTCAAAACTTTAGCCCCTTCTTGGCTCCAGCAGATCAATATTCAAAGGCGGGGAAACAGGAAGCTTCGGGCGCGGCCATTTCGGACAGGTAGTGGATGGTCCCCGCCAGACCTGATGGGTAAAACAGGGATTCATTCCTTTCAGAGAAATACTGACCGCAAAATGTATCAACTGTCAAGTGATTTTTCGATACCTTCAAAAAGTGAGTAGGGTCTGTCAGGGATGCGGCAGCCGTGAGTCCCGTAGTCCAAACACCACTCAGCAAACTGAGTAAACAAGAACGAAGCAGAACGTCATGGCTCAAATGTCCACTTTGCCGTATAAGGTCGTTTTGGATGCTCATGTGTGCGCTTGATTATCTTCACAAAGCGCCCCCCCCATGTGTATTTATAGTACACAGACAAGTCCAAATTTAAAAAGGTAGCTTTGATCCGCTTGTTACCTTGCAGGCGCGGTACAGGTACTTCTTCTCCTGGGTGAGTTTGTACAGGGACAGGAAAGCATAGCCGTTGCCGGCGGTACCGTGGCAGATGCCATAGCCTTTTCGGAGAAGACCCCTCTGCCAAATCACCTCGCCACATTCGAGGGCTTCCTTCAGGTACTTCTCCTCTTTAAAAACCTGGGGGGGAGGACACACACCCCAGTCGACAGTCTGCTATGTTGCTGTTCAATACATCTGAAGGTCAAATGATGTACATTTATTTCAAATTTGCACGTCACATTTATTTTGATCATTTCTGCAATGCTGGGACAGAAATACAAGACGGACGTTGTTCATAATAGATTCCCCTTTAAGGATACTTTCAATGTTGAGCTTCATGCGTCTCTCACCGACTGCAGCGAGAGCGCTAACGGCACATTGTGTGCCGAGCGGCTCCCAGGGAAAGCGGGGAGGGAATTCGCTCGTAATTTATAACTAAACCGCGCGTGGGTGATGTGTCAAGTCAGGCTGTTCAAAAAATGAAATATCGTGCGCGTGGCACAAATCCTCTGCACGGATTCTTGCTCAGTCTTCTCATCTCTTTCGCCCTGACTGTGTTTTATAAACTGATGAATCACAGTTTGACTGTGGAGGGGGCGGGGAAGGGGGGAGGACTACTCCCTGTTCAATGAGGCTTGCAATAGGGGTATTGCGTGCCAACTTTTTGCAGAGTCAGAAGCAGGGGGCCATTCAAAACAAGACAATTGATGAGCATGACATTGAAGTGGCTTCATTTGTCGTACCTTATAAGCCATTATGAGCACGTGGATGACGCCGGGCGCCCCGTGGCACCAGTGAACCAGTCGGTCGCTCTCATTGCTCAGCGACGAAGGGAAGTTACCCGAACGGAATCTCTTGTGGCGGATGTAGTCGATACTGGGCCGAACCAACTCGGACAGCACGTCTGGGTGGACCCTCGCCCCCGGCTGAACGAAGAGACATTTTACACAAGCACATTTTGGATGCTTTTGAATCGTCACTTGCTGGATTGGCTAGTAAAGAATCGAAAGAGAAAGTGGACTTCGTCAAGCCTGCTTTTACCTGCATGAGCATGTAAAAGATTCCGGCCAGGCCATGGGCAGCGCCAACATATTGCTTCTTGTGCCATTCATAGAGCAGAGGGCAGCGCTCCGTCTTCTTCAGCTCTGCTGATAGATTCTTCCCTGACTCAATGATGGCCGTCACTACCTGGGTCAAAAAGGAACCGGTGACAGGAAGAGCCCCAAAATGCAATTCGATGGCCAACGCATCGGAAAAAAAAAATGCAATGGTACTTTGATTGAGATTTGATTTAATCATTCAAAACCAAAATTATCATTCCCAATTGTGCTGCACATTTACGCTTATGCGTATAAAAAAAAAAAAAAAATACTGTATTTTCCGCACTATAAGGCGCACCTTCAATGAATGGCCTTTTTTAAAAGTGTGTTTCACATATAGGGTGCAATGCATTATAAGGCGCATAGAATAGAAGCCACAACAGTGGCTGCAGTAGCATTATGCATCCAGTAGATGGAGCTACACTAAAGCAATACAATACAATACAGCTTTGTTTATAAAGCCCTTTCACAACTGCTGCAGCTGTAACAAGCGCTTTATGTATATATATATATACATATACACAGTATATAGGGCGCATCGGATTATAAGGCGCGCTGTTGGTTTTTGAGAAAATGGAATGCTTTTAGATGCTCCTTATAGTCCGGAAAATACGGTAATAATAAATGAAGAAACATTGCTTCCAATCAAACATTTTCACTAGGCCATAAAGTGAAATGCTCGCAGCTGGCCAATGAAGCGACGATCAAAGGTAATTGCAGACTCCTGGAAAGGCAAGAAAAATACAACGGGAACAACACTCGCGAACTGCACCCCGAGGCAACCGTTTGATAAAGAAAATGAGCCGCGGTGCCCAGGCCGGATTTATGAGCACAAATAATGGTGACCTGCACTGCAGTGCTTCGGGAACCTGCTACTCCAAAACAAAATGTTAGTTTTACCTCAGATACTACTGGCATCTACTCGTAAAAATAAATCATGTGAATTAGATGTTCATTTAAAAGCACAAAACATGTCTCACTTTTGAAATGGTGGCTTCGTCCACAGTGTCGCCTCCTATTTCCTTATTGACATACAGCAGAGCGTACAGGTAACCGGCTCGCCCATACAGCAATTCATCCGGCATCTCCGAATCTGCACTGAGCACTGACCGCTGCAGCTGGAGGAGCCTGAGGAGGGCGAAAAAACAACCCCTCAATGTAATTGGACAAGTGTCTGCAAAACTGTATCTTAACTCAGGAACACTCACTTGGAAAGACAATCGCTGCTGTCGGCGGCGTTGCCCAGCTTGTGGTGGACCACTGCGCCCACCGCCAGCGGCCCGGCGTCACCACAGAGGAAAGTCACTTTGCGGCCATTCAGAATCCTCATTGATCTCTTGACATAGTC